GAAAGCATGATTATTGCCTACACAAGATAACGAGCTTGATTTTGTCGTTTAATCTCAGCATCGTACTTTAATATGTTCAACACAGGTACCTCGAAAATAAAATAAAAAATTAACGGTTTAATTTCACAAAATCAGGTAGATGGCAATTGAAAATGAAGCTTTCGTGCTCATTTAAACATTTATTGTTATCGGTTATCTATTGTTTCCGTTTCATCATAGCGGAGGCAACTAATGGATAATTTTAAAGCATGGTTTTAATTATAGTGATGCCGAACTAAAAATCAGACAGGGATTGCTTTTAAGAGTTGATTTGTTTGTGAAAGCGATCATTTCAAGCGCAGTGGAGTGAGACTAATCGATGGTGCCAATCACAATCAGTAAGACGCCGAACTTGAAGTTTCCTATCGGCTGATAGCTTCACCCCTCGCCAACAATCAAAGTCCATAGAAACCGACAACGACCCGTGTAATTATTTCGATCAGCGTAATCCACTGATCGATCTATCACACATATCTTTAATTCGAATTGAAGCCAACTGCCAAATGGTTAGTTAGTATTATTTTAAATATAACAAGCCATTCCATTTCGTGTGTATGGCTTGAAAAATTTAATCGTCGACCGTCAAAAACGCAATATTTTTACCGTCAACCGTCAAATTAGCCAACCAATATAACCCGTCAAATGTTCCATTAACCGGCCACCAATTAAGATGACATATATCAAAGTCTCGAAATTATTGTTAGTAAAATACCGTAAACAAAACCCCTATTAACCGGCCACCTCTATTAGGCGGCCGACGGCACCTTTTAGTCCGGCGATGAGAGTTTTCTATGAGGGTTTTGGAAAAAAGAGACGACAGACAAGAGTCCGAAATTGAAAGTGGCCATACACTGAATAAAACATTCAAACACACGTTTATTATCATTGTCTTGAAGTGATTCCATGTTTATATTGACCCGAGGGTAAAAAATATAACTTCACTGTGTGTGTGTTTTTTTTTTTAAATAAAGGATATAGCCGTTTTCGTAACAAGTGACTCAGGAAAACAGTGACACGTAGTCTTTATGATGTGCAGCAGTAGTCACAAGCCTTCAGGCAAGTTTTTAATTGGATAAATTGACGTTTTAACGAAGTTTCGTGCAAATTCCTGTCGAACCTCTATAAAGCGGCCAACCCCTATTTTACGCCCGAGGGTGGCTTAACCTATTCATCAGTATTTCATTCTCGTCCCCTTCAGTCAGCGGACTAACCAACATTGGATCGCTGCCTCTAGAAACGAATTTGCTGGTGTTCTACATCAGCTTAGTTTCATTATTTTAAAGCCAATCAAAATCGAGCCTGCGACGGAGCTCTCAGGAGTCCCTCGTTTTGTTATGCTTGCCCTTAGCCTTTTTGCACTATTGTATAGTTCCGAAATATAGCCTTATATAAACCACAATTTCTAGTTTGATTGCCATTCTCAATTTTGTCTCTCTTTCAGTCAATCCCTAGTGTCAGAAATGAATTTTGAATAGCCGAAGGCGTCCAAGATACTT